CACTTCACAGATGAGGAAACTGCGGCTGGGAACTCACCTCCCAGGCTGAGTCACACAATTATACCGCCAGAGATTAGAACAGGGTTGTAAAGGGCGCTCCAAAGCTCACCTCAGCTGACCCGCAAGCCGTGGGGCCCCCGCCAAATTGGATTCAGTTGGTCAACTGGGGGTGGGGGGTAGGGGGGATCCGCCATCCTTCCAGAGTCTCCAAAGGAGGCGTGGCCCTCCCAACTCCGCCTGGGGCACCGTACCCAACAGTATTTTCCCCTAAACCTCTCCAATTCGGCAAGCCCACCCCCCACCCCACCACCACCAGAGTTGTAGAATTTCGAAGAAACTCCCAAATATGGGGGAGCTCAAGGAGTCCGAACACCAGGACACCCAGCACGGAAACGCTCTGGCAAAGAAAAGGGGGCCCAGCCCCATCCCGCCCACTCTGCCCACGTGATAGCCGGTCGGACCGGTTTCTGGGGCCCCAGCAAGGCGCCGCCAGCTCCTGACCCCTTAACCCTGCCCCTCCCCCACCAGGGAAGAAAACCAGACGGGCAGCACAGCCTTTATTCAAATGGTCTTTTATTTTATCTGGCGTTTCTAGCAAGAGGCCAGATAGATGAAGTTAAACAGAATCCACCACAGTAAAGGTAAACAGGCCTCAGAACGCCCTGGCAAGAGTCTTCCCCTCCCCACACTGGCCCAGTCCCACCAGCAACTGGTCCCAGCTCAGCCTTACAGCGCTCTAAACACCCCCACCGATTTTTGTGATTCAGACCAGGATCGTCTGGGTTGCGTCTGTGTGTCTGAGGGATGGTCACGCTTGAGGCTGTGACCATCTCCCACCTCCAACGCACCAGGTGAGAAAAACTGTAACCTGAAATTGGATCAGCCCCCCACCCTTCCCCCCGCTATTCAGCCGAAGGCACAGGGGCGCGGGGCACAAACCCGCAGCAAGCGGGGCGAGGTGACTCAGGACGCCCTCCTCCCATTCCCCAGGGCGGTCCACACCCCAGACCCTCCTCCCAGGCCCCACACCCACGCAGGGCAACAGGAAGCTTCCCACGTCTGCCCCATGACGCAACGATGACCGCTTGCACAAGTATGCCACGGGTGGGGGAAGGGGAGCGCCTGCCTGGAATTCTCTGAGGTTGGAAATGCAAACACCAACTATTGAAAAACCTTGAAAGGGCAGCACAGCTCCCAGTAAAAAATAAAAGTCCGACCCTGAGGAGTTTCAAGAACCAAGCCTCCCTGCTCCCAGTCCCAGAAGGAGAGGGAAAGGTCCACGTCCCAGTCCGTTAAGACAGCACCTGTGGGCGCAGCAGGTCTCGGCGGAAGGCGCTCGCGCTCCCGGCTCAGGCTCCTCGGCGCGGCCGCTGCACAGAGGCGGCGACGGCTCCCCGGGGGCAGAGTCCCTCTTCAGGCCTCTCAGCAGCCCGGGCGGCAGCTCCTCTCCACGGTTTCGGCGGGCCCTCCTCCGGGGGTGGGCCTCGCCTCGGGTCTGCGCACTCCGGCCGACGGTTCGGCCCGCGCTCTGGGCTCCGGTAGCGCCGCTCGGGGACCCTCAGAAGGCCACCACGGCCCGCACGAGCACGTTCAGCATGCTGTCCGCCGGGCGGCAGGCCGGCTTCGCCTCGCACGCCGGCGGCGCCGTCGGGGGGGCGGCGGGGCTGCAGTTCAGGAGGCCCGAGAAGCGCCTCTGGAGGACGCGCGCCAGGTTGGGGAAGGCGCCCTCGGCTTGCGCGGGAGGTGGCTGCAGGCGATCAGGGACCTCCGACGAGGCTCCTTCCTCCTGCTCTTCTTCAAGACGGGCTTTCTTGCTTGGGACCAGTCCGACGTCCCCGCCGTCACTCAGGCTGCTGTTCCGCCGCTTTCGGCTGACTTTTGTTGTGGGGCGCGGGGCACAGCGGGCTGGGGTCTCCTCGGCTCGCGGCGCCTCCCGCGTGTCCATGGGCTCCGGGGAGGGCTGCTCACCGTCGGGGGGCGCTGCCTCGGCTACAGCTTCCGCCTCCCGCGACTGGTGCAGGCGAGGATCAGGGGAGCGGACGGGGGGCAAGGGCACCTCGGGCTCGTGGGCTTCCACCTTGGCTGAGAGGTAGAGCTCTCGGGCGCTGCGCATGACCAGCGATAGCTGCAGACTCCGGTGCAGCCGCAGGCCACCGCGCTGCATGCGCGAATGGTACATCTTCCACACCGACAGAGTCATGATGCGCTGCGCCTCCTTCTGCACTTCCATTGCGGCTCGACGGCGGGGGCGAGGGCGGCGGGGACTCCCAGGCTGGGCAGGACAGCTAGCAGGTGCACTCCGGGCAACGCGCTCGCTCACGCTTCTCCCCTCACGCCAACCCACGCCGTGACACGGCTAGGACGCTCTGCCCCGGCGCCCGCCACCCGGGCCCTTTTGTACCCGGAGTGAAGTCACCGAGCCGCCCCGCCCAATCAGAGAGCCGCATCCGGGCTTCCCAGCGCGCCGCGGCGAGAGACTCCTTAAAGCGACAGGGTGGAATTTACCGAGCGGGGGAGAAGGGACAGGAGTCGGGGCGAGGAGGAGCGTCCCCCAGTCCACGCGGAGCTCTCGGGGTGGTCTCCTTTCTCAGGGTCCTTAATACGCTAGCGCGCAGGCCCAGAAGAGGGGGGCCGCGGATGCGGGGCAGAGTCCACCCACGTGCTTGCGTCTGAAACCCCAGCTGGTTGTAGGCGGCAAGTTTCCTTTCGCGCCGGGGAAGACCGGGGTTCGAACCGGTACATCCCCCGTGGGCACAGTTCCTAGCATCTACCAGGTGTCTAATGTTTTTTTGAATCAGTAACCGATTAGTGTTTTTTGAATCAATAACCGTGCTAACACTTACTAAGCACTATACCCGCCAGGCGCTGTTAAGGGCTTTCCTTCACTAAATAACCTCACTGATGCCTCACCTCCACTCTGCGGAGGGTATTGTTATACCTGATTTCTTCAGGTGGGGAAATCGAGACAGAGTGACTCGTTCAATATTTGCTAAACGAACGAGTAGGCCCCTGGGGCCTCCAGCTCTTCCGTCTCTCTAGCGTAAGCCAGCCCTCTTCAGTCCCCTTGTCTGTAGGCAGTGAGGCGGCGGGCAGCGCTGCTGGCTCCAGGGCATAGCTGCCCACGCCACGGGCAGCGGATGTCTGCAGACACGAGCGCAGCCCGGGCTGCCATTCCTGCACTCCACACCAAACACGCCCCCAGTTTCCCTGTACACGAGCTCCACGGGTGGGCTGGGTACTCGCAAGACGGAGGACCAGGCAACAGGACAGTCCGGGGGAACACGTGGCTCTGTGCCCGGGGAACCGAGGCTGGGGTAGGAGCTGTAAACTAAGCAACGCAGAGACAGAGCAGATAGATGGAGAACATCGGCCCCACCTTCCGCTACGCCCTATCGCTCCAAGAAAACCCATTTCCAGTTCCTCCAAAATAAGATGCAAAATTGTTCCTACAGCTCCATTCATTCGTGGCAAGGGCCCTTTAAGTGAAGGCTCCTCTCTCCCCCCCTTCCCCCCACCCCCAGCCGCCGGCGGGCGGGCAGAATCTTCCGGCCACTGGAAGCGCCAGACTTCCACGACTAAATTTGGATATAATGACGTAGGGCAGGCGCGCGAGCCGCTTCCGGCTGCCCATATAAGGACAGGGGCCGGGATCTCCACTCGGAGCTGTGGCAGCCTCCTTCCGGGCGGGCGGGGGCGGTGCCTTGGCCTCCGAACACGCCCCCTCCCTTACCCTCCCGGTCTCCCGGCAGCTAGGACTGGCTGTAGTCCCCGGCTTCCGGACCAGAGTCCAGCCCCGCGGGCTCCCGAGGCCAGAAGGCGTGACGCCTCCGGGAAAACCCCCGCCGGCAGATAGGGGCGATCTCAGGGCTTCCACTGACGCCAACTCCCTGAAACCCTCCACAAAGACCTTGCCAATACGAGGGACGATTCGCTGAGTACCCCTTCATCCTTGTTCCGCCATAGAGACCCCATAATTATTTCTCCCTACAGTGTTCTCTCCCAGGTATTCCTGCTTCTCCCCCCCCGCCAAATCATGCAGCCTTGGAGAACCCTCACGCACAGCCCTCCCCCCGCCCCACCGCCCGCACATGGGGACTCAGGAATTATTTGCTGTTTAAACTGTCCCTATTCAGCGATCCTGCCACACACTAAGGCGACCTGCTGAGGACGCACCCGTCTCCCCCTTCACCACCTCGGCGAATCCACAATGACATCCCCAGCCCAGGCGCTACCTCTGAGACTCTCTTTAGCGACTCTGAAGCACAGGGGCACACAGACTTTCCAAGAACTTCAGACATCTCGCCTAAATGTCTCCAGAAACAGACCGCGACCTCACTCAGGTGATGGCTCACCTCCGAAAAAAATGCATTTCCGGAGACCCCACCCAGAGCGCCTCTGTCACACTAGGGTCAACTGTGTTTCTCCAGACATTCCTGGCCCCTCCCTAGATGGAGACCCCACACGCAGAGGACTTCCTTGTACACACCATCCTCAGAGCCACCACCACACCCCCTCCCGCGACTCCCAGCCTCGCACCCAGAGAGACTCCACACCCCAGAAGCATCTCTGGGGCCCCCCACTCAGCCACCCCGACCCAGGGCGACCTGGAGGCGCCCCTCCTCTGTAAGAAAAAAAGAGGAGGAAAGAGTCCAACAAGACTCCGCACCTCCATCCCCGCGGGAGAGTGGGGAGGACCACGTCTTCCCCCAGCCCTTCTCAACCCTAGGCTGGGACGATCTCCCAGGGCAGAATCAAGGTGCAGGCTCAGAAAGTCTGTTAAGAGGATCTCCGAATCGAACGATCCCCTTCCCCAGCCATAATCTCTGATTTGAAGGAGGTTATTATTATTCACATTGCCCCAAAGGGAAACAGGTTGCGCAGCAACAATCCCAGGGGCTGGGTCTCCAACCGAGAGATCACGAGGTCCGACCCCCAACCCAGCCAGACTTAACTGGGACACTGCAGGGGGCGGTGGGCTGCGCGGACGCGAAGCCTTCTCTGCCCAAAATAAAGATGGCCGTAAGAAGGGCGGAAGTTTCCGCACTTCGGGCCTCCGAGGCCTCTCTACCCTGCCGTCCCCGCTCTCGATGGTGACACGGGTCACGTGACGGGGGCGGGGGTGGCTGCGCGTTCCCCTCTACTGGGAGGGAACCTGCTACCAAAGCCGAGAGGGGAGGGGGGGCTCGGCCTCGGGCGGGGGGGCGTGTGACATGTCTCTCGAAGACCCATTTTTTGTTGTCCGAGGGTGAGTGACAGCAATGAGGGAGGGAGGAGGGTGCTCGGTCCCCGTGCCAGCTAGTGCCCGCGTGCCCGCCAGAGCGTGCTAGGCGGACTGGGCACGGCCGTCGGGGTCAGGGTAGACCCGTGGCCGAGTGGGAGGGGTCCGCAGGGGGATATTAGGGTATCCTGAGCCCCCCCCATTCGTTTGCGGGCGCAGTGGCGGGCGGGAGGAGCGCCTGTCCCCAGCCGTGACCAATGTGTGTGCCCCTGCCCGCAGTGAGGTGCAGAAGGCGGTGAACACGGCCCGCGGGCTGTACCAGCGCTGGTGCGAGCTCCTGCAAGAGGACGCGGCGGTCGGCCGCGAAGAGCTGGACTGGACGACCAATGAGCTGCGGAATGGCCTTCGCAGCATCGAGTGGGACCTCGAGGACCTGGAGGAGACCATCGATATCCTGGGGGGTTGCAAGGCGTCCTGGGAGAGCCCATTGCTGTGGCAGGGGGCGGCTGGACACCTGGGAGGAGTTAAGGGCTTGAGGCAGAGGAGGGGCTTGTGTCTGGCTTTGGCCTTGACTCCTGACTCGGGGCTTACGCATAGTGGAAGCCAACCCAGGAAAGTTCAAGCTCCCAGCCGGAGACCTGCAGGAGAGAAAGGTGTTCGTGGAGCGGATGCGGGAGGCAGTCCAGGTGAGGAGAGTTTCCGGTGGCCTGCGTGTGGGGAGGTTGGGGTGTCTTTACTCACTGATGGCGTCCTCACCCCCAGGATATGAAGGACCATATGGTCAGCCCCGCAGCCATAGCCTTCATGGAGAGGAATAATAGAGAGGTAAGGCATCCAGACCCAACATCCTCACCTGAGGCTCTCAGAGAGACCCTCCCCTTTGCGTGCAATCCTGACCCACTGTGCCCGTTCACCTGTCCCCCTTGCATGTATGTCTATCCCTTCTGTGTCCGTGCCCATCTTCTCTGTGTGCAGTTGTCTCCTGGCTGTCCACCTCCCTGCTCTTTCTGGCTGTGTTCGCCTGAGCCCTCTCTGTGTATATAATCCTTTCTGCCTCCTGGTGTGGGTCTAGATGCCCATTTCCTTTTTCTTTTTTTGCTTGGTGTGTTACTGTTTCCAGGATATATGTAAGCCTACTTTGTTTCTGTGTATGTACCTGGGCATCTGAGCGGGTGAACTTGGCCTCTGAGCGGATCCCCCTCTGCGGTCGGCTTGCATACCATTTCCCTCCAAGGGTGTGCCTGCTCATGCCTTTTGTGGGCACTCTCCCAGCTGCCTCTGTTGGCACACTTTTTCCTTCTGTGTCCTGTGTCCATTCTTTGCATGTTGTGAAACCAGCCTGTCTCCATCCCCTCGTGGGATCTGGGAGGGTGGGGGGCTGAGACCTGCATGAGTTTGGAGTCCTGTATCAGTGCCCACATGCTTTCCAGGTGTGCTGCCTTGAGGGTTAAAGTCCAAAATTTTTTTTTTTTTTTTTAAGATTTTATTTATTTCTTTGGCAGAGAGAGACACAGCGAGAGAGAGAACACAAGCAGGGGGAGTGGGAGAGGGAG